ATAATATTTGAAATATATTTCCTTTTTATTGAATATTTAATATGTTCATCAAATTATTTATTTTATCCCAATTAAATATTAAGAAAATAATATGTTTTTTGTAATATTTTATATATATTTGTTTTTGTGAAAAAATAATTATAAAATATATAAATATATTATAAATATTCGTTTATTATTTTGTAATAAATATTTTTTTAATAATATTATATACATATTATCTTTTGCTTTCCAAATATTTAGGAGACATATGAATATATAATAAATATTTAAGTAATATTTTGTGCTATTGGGGAATAGAAGTCTAATAGGATATAGATGAATATCCCCTCGGATCCAAGCTTTTTTCAGGTCACAAAAAACTACCGCGGCCACTTCTTCGTCATTTATCTTCTAATACAGCTCATCCAGGAGATGAAATATGGTATCATCAGTGTTTTTTGACTGCTGAAACAGAGACAGATAAAGCAATTTATGTCTATCAAGGAAGCTCACCATCCACCTTAATTAGCCACTCTACAATTTTAGTCTAAGTTGCCAGTAAGGATATTGGCCGGTAATAAGATGGTAAATTCTTATCACCCCCCTATTAAACAAAGGTACTACCCAAGATTGCTTCAAAAATGAGGGAAAACTTCCGGTGAGAAAAGAATTAATAATAGAATCCGCCAACACATGAACAGCCTAACTGAGATATCGTCCCATCCAGAAGATTTTCTATTTTTGATACTCAGTTTCTGAGCAATCGTACAGTAGTATGAATTAATATTATCTGCTTTCAAATTGGAAGTACAATATGTATATTTCTTATTTTTTTTTTTTTTGGCGTAGGTCGTTCTTTTTTTTGTATTTGTGCACTGGCCTCTCTGGCTTGATGCATCTTATCTTCGACATTCACACACACACTTGGTTGTAACAAGTTTATTGACACTGGAACCTTACTCTTCATTCTTCTACTATTTAACAGTTGAGATGGGGAGTACCCCATATTTTGAGTGGTGAATTTCTATAATTGAGTGAAGCACTTTGAAAATTCAAACTTCCATCAGCTTCTAGTGTTTTTCTGATTAAGCTTCTGGATATTGCCACTGCTTTTTCAGCTAGTCCGTTTGATTGAGGATAATTTGGGCTCCTGAGAGTGAGAGTAAAGTTCCAGGTTTTACTAAACGTCTTAAATGTATCACTATTATATGGTATATTATCAGCCACCAGAAAATCAGGTGATCCAAATCTAGAAAAAACTGTCATTAGTTGGTTGATTACAGCCTGTGCACTTTTGTCTTTAATTGGAAGCAACTCGAGCCAATTTGAGTATGCGTCAAACAAAACAACATAACTTTGGCCTGCAAAAGTAAATATGTCTGAGGCCACCCTTTCCCATGGTCGAGTTGGTAGAGAATAGGATAATAGATTCTGTTTGGGATTTTTTCTAGCAAATTTCTCACAGATTTTGCATGATTGAATAAATGACTCAATCTCCATTGATAAACCAGGCCAGTAAAAAATTCTACGCGCTTGTGCTTTAGTTTTTTCTATTCCTAAGTGTCCCTCATGTAATAAGGATAACATTTCTTTCCTTAGTGATTTGGGAACTACAAGTTTGTGTTCTAAAAATATCAAATCATTGCAACTAACTAATTGTTCTTTGAGTTTAGCAAAAACGCGAACTGACTCTGGAATTTTATTTTTATTAGTTGGCCAACCATTGGCGATAAAATCGGAGAGTATTTTCAATTGTGAGTCATTTTTGGTTTCTTCTCTAAATTGTTTTTTTCTTTCCTCAGACATAGGTAACATATTAACGATAGAATGAACGGCATATTCAATTTCTGAATCGGTCTGACATTTTTATTTTTTAAATAGGCCGTTGAAAGTGCATCGGATATATACATATGTTTGCCTGGCTTATAGGAAATTGTCAAATTATAACTTAAAAGTTTTAGCCTCATTCTCAGAATTCTCGGCGAAATGTTCTGTAATTTTCGCAATGAACTTCAACAGGAAGGCCATAAATAAAATAATGAAATTTTTTAGCACCAAATAAGATACCTAGAGTTTCTTTTTCTATTTGAGCATACTGTTGTTCTGTTTTGTTTAAACTCCTTGATGCAAATGCAATAGGCTTGCCCTCTTGCAAAAGGCATGCTCCCAAGCCATCTTTTGATGCGTCTATCTCTAATACAATACTCTTTTTAATATTGAAGAATGCTAAAACTGGAGAATGAGTCAATACATCTTTCAAATTGTCAAACGAAGTTTGACAATCTGCAGTCCATTCCCAGCCAACATTGATCCTTGTTAGGTTTCTAAGTGGAGCAGACAGTTTCGAAAGATTTGGTACAAATTTTCCAACAAATTTAACCATCCCTAAAAATCTTAGCACATCTGGTTCGGATTGTGGTGTTGGCATATCTAGGATAGCTTGAATGTATTTGAAATTAGTTTTTACACCATCCTTCGAAAATATCTGTCCCATATATTTTACACTATTTTGCTTAAATTGAATTTTGCATTTGTTGAATTTTAAATTATATTTCAAAGCCCTATCCAAAACATTTTTAAGGTTTTTGTCATGCTCAGCCTCAGAAGACCCAGTAACTATCAGATCATCAAAATAGATCCCTACTCCTTCAAGGTCACCAAATACCTCAAAATTCTTTTTCTGGAACACTTCTGGTGCCGAACATATGCCAAAAGCCAACCTTGTAAACTGATACCTGCCAAACGGAGTACCAAAAGTCATTAGATCAGAACTCTCATCATCTAATTCAATCTGCGAATACCCATCTTTCATATCAAGTACTGTGAAATACTGCTTGTTGCTCAATTTTGCCGCGATTTCATCAGCAGATGGAATTAGAAAATGCTCACGCTTCATCACACTATTCAATTCCTTTGGATCTAGGCACAGCCGCAGGTCACCATTGGGCTTTTCCACAATAACCAACGGATGCACCCACTCCGTGGGTTTGTCTACTTTCTTGATGATTCCTCCTAGCTCAAGATCACACAACTTATCTTTTAATTTATCATGCAATACTTTTGGCACTCGTCTGATAGCACTGATGTGTGGTTTTGCACCTTCTTGCAATGTTATGTGATGCTGACTAGGGAATTTTCCTAATCCTTCAAAAACTTTTGAATATTTGACAACCATGTCCTCAAGGCTGTTAAACTTAACTTGTTCTTTTTCTACAAAATCTACTCGTTTAATTAATTTTAATTTTAAGCATTCCTTAAGTCCCAGTAATGGTATTTGATTAACCGCTTCAACTACTACAAATGAGAGAACTTTAAACTTGTTTTTTGTAGAACAATTAAGTTCAACTTTTCCTAAGCTTTTGATTTTAGCATTAGAGTTACCATAAGGTATCAACGAAATATTAGATTTAATAATTTGAGCTTCTGGGGCTACCTTTTTCAAAATGTTGATTGGTAAAACACTGACTTCTGCGCCTGTGTCTATTTTAAAAGTGACTAAGCTATTGTCAATGAATACTTTTTCAGTCCACATGGTTGTTTTAGTTTTATTTTTTATAGCATTCTTACCTGGCTGGTTTTCTTTGCATTTTTCATGAACTGAACTGACAAAAAACTCGTATTCTCCACTTTCATTGTCACTATCATCATCACTACACTCTGGTGTTACATATTCAGCGACTTCATACACTCGTTTCTTGGTTCCATTTTCTTTCTTCTTTATATTTTCCTTTCTTTTTTCACTTTGAGTACTTCTATCTTGAGATCTTTCTTCTATTTTTTTCTTGACATTTTTTTGTTTGCACACACTGGCAAAGTGGTTTCGACCTTGGCATCTAGCACATGTTTTTTTCCAAGCAGGGCATCTTCCACTGGCATGGTCGTACCCGCAAAACTTACATGAAACTAGTTGATAATTAGCTGAATGTCTTGATGATCGCAATTCATGAATACTGGACTCATTCTGTAGAGCTTTAGATTGAGTTTTACTTGCTTCAATTGCTCTGCAGAACTCAATTGCTTCAGTTAGCGTTAATGTTGACTCGCGCAACAGTCTCTCTTGGGTGGTTTTATCGAATATTCCCATCACTATCCTGTCACGAATCATCTGCTCTGGTTCTGAATATTCTGTTGTTCTTACTGCCTTTCGAAGCTCGGTAAGGAAATTGTCAAAGGTCTGTCCTTCTTGCTGAACCACACTATTGAACTTAAAACGTTCGAAGATAACATTTTTTTTTGGAGAACAATAGTCTGAGAATGCTTTCAACAGATTTGCCAAGGTTCTCTGGGCTCCTTGAATATTAAACGTGTTTTACAAGTCCAGAGCCTCATCACCAATCAAATTGAGAAACACAGCAATTTTTTTCTCTTCTTGCTTACCGGCCAAGTCTGTGGCAGTCAAAAACACTTTGAATTTTTGTTCAAATTTGCGCCAATTTTCGGCTATGTTGCCATCCAACACAAGGGGCTCAGGGGGCCTAAAATAGTTTTCCATTTTTCAGTGAGGCTTAACTATTCACTTACTGGGTTAGGTATTCCAGAACCACCACTACTAGTCACTAGCCAGTCAGAACCAACCTGACACCATGTTTGATTTGTTTATAACTATTAACATCAGATAAATAAACGTTCAAAATCAGGATGCGTTTATTAGTAATGAATTATTATTACTTCCAGCCACGTTAAATAATTACACATGACATAAACTAAACTGTCATTACTGACCTAACTTGTCATGTCAATATCCACAGATGGTGGATATAGTGTTGGTTGTTACCCTATATCATACAGGAGTTGCAACAATTAAATATTTTCACATTTTGAGGATAGGTCCTGCGTGTCCAAGTGAAATGTAGGTAGAGCAATCTTGCCCAAACAATAGGGTTTCCGTAATTGGGTGGAACAGCGGTCACGAGTGAACTAAAAAAGCTGGCTCAAAGCGGTAATATGAGTGCCCAGACCATGAAGACGACATACCAGACCTGCTACTGATATGTCATAAAAACGTCGCTTTTATACAAAAATTGTCACATCCACATCGTTCGTTCATCGATATGTGGAAATATGTATTATTGTTCGTTGCAGTTGTTGCATATGGCTCTGGAGATGATCCTAGTGTTTCAGAAAAACTGCGGTCCCAAAATTTCAACTTTTTGGTAGAGGTCGTGAGAAAAGATACAAAGGAAAGAGTAGCCGTGGGTACCCTGTTATCTCCTACCCGAGTTTTAGCCTCAGCGAAGGGTTTGGTTTTAAGCCCGTTCAGTTATGAAGCCAATCTGGTGGTTCGACAACGACGTGGAAAGGGATTTTTTGACCAGATTGTAACGATAATAGCACAAGTGATTGGTAGTGCGGTTGAAGGTGCGGTTGGTAATGTGGTTAATAATGCAATAGGAAAAGGAAAAAGCGGGAGCAGCGGCGAGGAAATGAACTCAAATCTGTTAAATAATGGCGATATTACAATATTAACCATAAAACTACCACATCCTGTCTCTCGCTCAGCTTTAACATTTGTCAAACTATTGATACCTTCAGACATCAGATCACCAAAATCATCATGGCCTTCAGAGTGGCACACTGCGCAGTTTAAATTAGCAGACACACCTTGTAAAAAAGCCACCGTTTTAGGATGGAAACAAAGCGCTACGGTGGATATAATTGGAGCGAAGAAGTGTGCAGAACAATTGAACCTTCAGTTAAATGACGGACAATTCTGCAGCTTGAACGAGAGAAAGTTATTTTGTGATGCAAATCAACAAGGCGGTCCAATCATGTGCGGCGATTTCCAAGTTGGTATCTTGATCCCTGGGCTTTACTGCAACGAAGAGCCATTTCAGTTTGCTCCTATTGGATTTTATATTGATAGCATTGCCAATGCTATGGACCCACGAGAAGATGCAAAACCACTACCAAATGATAATTCATCAGTACCAACACCAACAATAACTGAAAGCGAGGGAATTTGCTTGAAACCCTATACAAATATTTTTGTCTTATTATTGATTGCTAAATTATTGTAAATTTTTATTTAAAACAGTGAATAAATAGCCATTCACATTTTAAGTTCCTGTTTTCAATTACGTTGAAGGTTATAAATTCTATTATTACCCAATGGTTACCTGACGTCGCACCTGTTTTTGCCATATGAAATACCCCCTCGCTCCTCATACGGAAAGTGTCAGTTAAAAATCGACGAACAATACGTGATTTCGACCTGACTGAAGACGATATTATGACCAAATTTTTGCAGTTATATCACCTAAGGGTTGCCAACCCTCCTGATTTAGGGAGTCTCCCGCTTTTTTACTAAACTCCCGCGCACTTAAACAAAACTCCCGCTTTTCCCAAAAATAGAAATTACATAAAATATAATGCTGAATTAGGTGCCCTTATTTATTTTTACCATCATTTTTAATACTTCAATATAAATCTGACAACCCTACGCAACTGGGGAGCTTTACACTGAAAAAACTTAGCTATAAATATGACTGCAACTTCTTTATTATGAAGTAGTTGGAACTTCGGATATGAGGTAAGTTATGAGTCTTTAATATGAAGACGTGTTGCAGTTGAAGTTCTCAAAGTACCTTGAGCTTATCTTAATTACATTGAGAGCTTAAGATAACATCATCCTGCATTAATAGACAAGTCATCCCGACTTTCTTAAAAATATACCTGCATTTTCTATTGATACTAAAGATTTAGCATGTATTACTGGAAACTTTATGATATAAATCAGCGTTACATAAACTTCAACTCATAATTAAAGTTGTGACTTTGGATGTTGAATGATACACAAAGAATATTTTTTTCATAGTTTTATTACAAAGAATGTAGGTACTTATGCAAATCATCTAGAACAGATGTCTTTGGTGTTGAAGCAACACTGATAGATGATGCCAGAAGTTCTTCAATGAGACTTACGCTATGCAAATTCAATCTACAAATTATAAAAATTAATTAATCATAAATGAATAAACATATGAATACTTAAACTTACACTGGGTTATGAGTGTCATAATTATTATTATCATACTCCCCTTGGAAACACTCGCGGAAATTATTGTCATTATTTGTTGTGTTTTCGGTGATCGTTAAAATAGGGTAGGTTTTGCCCTCGATGTCTACCCGTTTTTTCTAGAACATTGCAGTATAAGATGAAGTCATTGACGTACATACTTTTATTCATAATTTAAATACTCACCAATGCTGCTTCAGCTTGTTCTGATGCTAAGGTGGAAATATTAAGTCTCGCATCAATAATGGGAAGATTAGTAGAAAGATTTTTTCCTCTAGATGTTTTTCTGTTCTTCTCTAGACGTTGTTTTTCTTTGATTCTCGCCAATTTTCTCACCATTACGAATCTCCCCTAATTTTGGTAAAAGTTTCGCAATGGCGTCGGAGTAGAGAAACAGCAAAACTTCTGAGGTAATGGCTTCTTCTAAAATACCAAAGAAATAATAAAATAAAGTATTCATAATTAAGGTAAGGATTCTATTTATAATGCTACAAACTGCAATTCAATATCACAGTTTGAAGCTTACATTATGGCAATATCTTCATTATTAAGTAACAAAAAATGAATATCGTGTATGGGTAAATGATGCTTATTGCATGGGATGCCTTCAAAATGGTTTTTCAGGTTACTGTTAACTGTTATCTTCTGTTAATGATTATACTAATGGCATAATGCACATATACCTACTAAAATAATAAAATGAAAATTATTATTATATATAAGGACTTACCTTCAAAATTTCCTAAGTGATGCCCCATACTTCAAGAAATTCTTTGCGTGCCATTTTTATATTTTTTCTTTGAAAAAAAATCTCGAATCGACGATTTTGGAATAATTAGGACACAAACTGTATACGCTCGCGAAGGGCAAAAAATATAGACTAATGAAGGTGGTTTTTGTTGGAAGACGTTGTGTGGTACCTTACCGCGTGACCTTTGTGCCAGCATCGACACAACGAAACGTCTGGGCCAATGTTAAGGCTATTCACATGGAACTTAATTTCCTATCTATTATCTTTTACCTTTTCAATGGCTGTTGAAGTAACAACTCGAGGATTTAATATAATCGATAATAAGCATAATATTAAAGAAAGCATGTGCTTAAATGTATCCCAGTTTTTAAAAATGTATTCATAAGAAAAAGTTTCTTAACAACAAAGACATGTGTCTTGATATTTATCTGGAATGATCAACCATTCGGTTGGCACGATCAAAGTATATTTGGAGTCTTGGAAGCTGCGCACGTCTCACTTGAACGACACTTTTATCGTATTAACTGTTTATCCAAGTCCAGGATAGGTCCTAACATCCAATATCCAAGTAAGTAGGCTGGCTGCCAACTTACTTGGTCCAAGTATAAGTCGTGTAGTCCAGTGCAGGGCCGTAGCCAGGGGGGGGCATCGAGGGGCAATGCCCTATCTTTCAAATGATGATGCCCTACCTTTAAAACATAATATGCGTTAAGGTTTTTCTAGGAAATTTGAAAAAGTAGACAATGAAATAAATTGAAATCGAGTAAGTGCGAGGATAAGTGTTTCCGGAAACGTCTAAATGAACTAAATGTATGCAACCAACAATGTTTGACGTTTGACATTTGCACAGAGAAAGTTTTTTCTTTCGAAAGAGTGCCAATGGCCCAAGGCAGCGCGAGAATCAGCGTCATTTTGTTAACTTGCCAGAGATGTTATTTATTGACAAAGTTCCTAAAGTTATTAATAGGTTGCCTGGTAATGGGTAACTTAATGACGCTTCTAGGGTGCCTTGGAGATTTTCATTATATTGAGGCTCCCCAGATGACGTCATAAAGTTATTAGGCAACCTACCTCTCTCAAACAGCATTGATTTATTGAAAAATTTGCCTTCGGGGCCTTTACCCTTCTTTTGTTAACCTATAAAAAATTTGGGGGGATGTATGCCCTATGTCAAATTTGTTATGCCCTATCACAAATTTGACTCTAGCTACGGCCCTGGTCCAGTGTCGACAAAACTTTTCCTCTTGTAATACCTAACTATTATTGGTAAGTCTGGCAACAACGTCCATACAATTTTTGAATTCGTCTTTTGAATATAGCAATTTGTTTAAATTGCACCACGCACCACTGGTTTCAGAGATAATTGACCCTAAATTGCCTTTTTCAAACAGTGGCGACAATAGAGGTCCCGCCGCCATATTCTTGCAAATTCTAAATATTAATAAATAGGATTTGAAGAATGGGACGGTATATGTCGCCACCGCTGAAAGGTTTATTGAGTTACTGCAATCCAAACCATCCATCAAAAAAAAAAAAAAAAATAGGCAATCCAAACCACGTGACATTTAAGATGGCGTGGCGGCCACACATGGGATAAAAAACACAAAAAAAATATCTAGTTTCTGCCCCATTTAATAATTTAGGTACCTAGTCAACAAATATTTTATTAAATAATGAAAATCTAAGTTGTAAGCAAAACTCTAAGCAAAATAATTTAAAATGTGCATAAAAACATATTCAAAACAAACTTAGTTGGCCGTCACGCCATATTGAATTTTCCTCTTTGACAGATTGGTTTCTATGGGTTTACCTAATGTGGCGTGGCGGCCAAGTAAGTTTGATTTTGTGTAAGTGTTTTTTTTTATGTTAGTTCAGTTTGCGAATTTTAGTTATTTTGCTTGCAACCTATTAAGGGCCGGTTTCTCAATAGCAAGTAACTCCCGGGTTATGCATAATTCCAGGAAACATTGCAATTAGGGAATTCAAACCACGTGACTTTTGCCAACAAGCCGGCATTTTGAAATTTTTATGAGGTTAGAATACGGGTTGTTACATGTCAACGATGTCAGAAAAGTGTCAGATTTGAGTACACGCCACGTGTATTGATAAAGCGTAGTACTCATAACCGCGAAATTCGCTCTTTTTTGATATTGGCTTCGACAATTTAACGTTTGATTCACGCATAAACCTTCAAACTGTCGAAGCAATGTCAAAAAAGAGCGAATTTCGCTGTTATGAGTACTAGGCTTAATCTTGCCAAAAAAAAAAAAAGAACATAGGTTTTCTTGTTTATTGTTTGCCAACCAGACGCCATTTGGACAGGTCGTTGGATTGCCTAATTAGGCACTAGCTGACGTCACAAGCATAACCTCACTTTCGTTGAGGGGACAAACAAAGCGTTTTGAATGACTATTTATACACACAGGCGCTAGCTTGTCACCAATGACATAACGTGACTTTCGATAGGGGGACAAACATGTCACTGAGGTTATGTGTGAGACGTTAGCTAGCACCTAATTGGACACGTTTACTCTGGAGTCAAAACCAACCCGGAGGTGACCCGCTATTGAGAAAACGACCCTAAGCAGAAAAATATTGAGCGTGGCGAGAAGGGACCGGGCACAAATTGAAATTTGAGACCCCTAGTGGCGGTTTTCATAAGAATTTGTATAATAAACAATTAGGCTCACCAACCACGTGATTTTTCAATATGGCGACCGTGGAAAATTTGACGTTTGTTTGTTTATCTTGAGTTTATTTGGAATATTTTCAAGCTAATTACAGTTTACTTTGTTATACCTAATATACTTTTTAAGATGCAGAGTGAATATTTAATGAGTTGAATGCAGGAAAATCGGGATCTGGGCGAACGGTTAGTTTAAAAAAATGTCCAGATGACATTTTGATCCACAGTTCACATTAATGAGCAAATTAAGGCCTACAAAAGCTTAGATTCTTACGAATATTACGAAAATGGCTTTATTTCAGATGCAGGAACAGTGGTAGTGAGAAATTTTCACGTTTTAATTGGAAAATTTTAAAACAAAGGACAATGAAAAAAGCCTGACACCATCCTTGTTACCTTGTTGAAACTATTTCCAAAATCAACTTCAAGACCCGTTTGTGGCATTTTCAATTGAAAGAAATACTAATGAAGTCAATAAAATAAAAAAATAAACAGAGTTCATTCACAAAACAACCACAAAATGCACTTTAAAAAGCTTAAAATTACATACAGTGAGGGGCAAGCTACTAGGTATATAGGATGTAACCTGACGAATTAGCAGGCGTCCG